TGAGGTAAACATATTTCTCAATGGATGTCGTTTTGGATGCCAATTGGTCGAGGCCTTGTCACAATGAGTCAACACAACAACGCCTGACTGTGGATACACATACATCTCTGCGCTTGGAGCTCATAACTTCCAATATGAGGCGGGTACAAACCCTTATGGATTTGTTTATTCTGTCCATATGAGTTATGGTCTGTGGGTCTTCTCGATAGTGTTAGTTGTAATTCATTACTAGGAATAACATGGCCTACAACGTTATGTCTAACTGCGGCTTATTCGGCCCAGAGAACCAAGAGAAAGGATTGGAGACCATTCTAGTAGTATAGAGATGGAAGAAATAGAGTACCGGGTATAAAATTATCTGAGAACACGACGTTCGAAAGTTTGGGCGGTCCTTCAGCAATTATGTTGTGATTTTGCTCCCTGTCTTTTCCGACCGGGATTGTCTTTGCGGGACCAAACCTCGGCTTATTGAATCTGGGGTAATAGTATGTTCTACGAAGAAACACGTATAGTACGTTTAGCAACATGCCTCGGTGCACTTTTCATGACATGGTCTACAGAGAATATGATTTGCATATTGGTTGTAGTCTACACTAAGTCATTGTCTGAGTTTGGGCTTTTGTCAAGATTGTCCAATCAGGGATGGAATCCATGTAGGCTGTCCCCTAACGATTTCATTCTCACGATTTCAATCCTACTCTAGATCCCGAGGCGATCTCGCTTTTAGGGTGATGAGAAAAGCAATAGTCGCCTGATGTCGAGATGCGCGATTCCTCCCGAGCCCCTGCTTGCTGGCGCCTTTAACTACTGACTGGGCAAGTACATCCGTAAAACGATGCCACTGAATGGACATCCAAGAGAACCCGATCTCATTCATATCCGGTGTTCAAGGTAACCAAGAACAAATACTAAGCGTCTGTTGCATAACAAGAAGCTATTTATTGGCCGATGACCTCACACCGGCCCTTCAGAGGGCGTCGGACCAAGAGCAAGCTTAATTCTCCAGTTAATAAACTCATCCGAAAGAATGTCGCCATGACCAGTCTCCTCAATCTTGAACACTTCAATATTAGGGGATCGCTCCTTCCGTTGAATGCGATATACACCATCATCGTTCACCGTTGCTTTCAGAACTGCACTTGATTAGTGCTTTGTTACCACATTTTGGGCTGTACATACAGTCTAGTAACCCCGATGCGAAATTTATGCACATATTCCCATCCCAAGTCCCCTTTCCTTTTCTCTTAACTGTGCCGGGTATAGAGGCAGTGTCGATCTCTTCGATCCTCGTGAGGAAGCCATCAGGAGTCCGGAAGCCAACAATAATCTTTGGCACCCCAAGTAGAAATGATTGTATCCAGAATTTCAGTAGTTTCCGTTCGAAAGTTACCATATCTCGATCATTTCGTATTTCTGCACTGGTCTTCAGCTCAACCCAATTGATAGGACTGTCGTCCGTTGGTTTGAAGTCCCAAACTGCATTATTAGCCTCGAAGCTTGAATATACGTTAGACATACCAGCATCAACCTCTCCACCGATGACTAGCGAAGTATTGCCTATACCGGTTCTCACAATAGAACAGTATTGAGCATAGTTGTTAACTATCTCACTCTGCCTGTTTTCAATGTAATCTCGAGATGTTTCAGCCCAGGTAGATGGAAGTAAACACAAAGTCTCGAATTTATATCCTAGATATGTCAACGAACTCGCTTGAAATGCTTCGGAATCTGAGACTGACCCCAGAAACTCATCATATCTTGGGATGGCCGCCCCGGTTGTGGAACTTGAGCCGATTGTCTTGCCTGAGATTGGCGTTTATACTCATGGTTCTCCTCAATGAATCTGATGCGATTAGCGAGAGATAATTGGAAGGTTATGAGGCTGTATACATAGTATCCTTCATCAGTATTGTCAGCAGCTGTCAGAACATGTCGAGGTTAAGGAGCACTACTTGATAGAATGTGGCATTCATCTCAAAGCTGCGGGAATTCGTCAGTCTGAGTCTAGAATGTGGCATGTGGCTAGTAAACATACCCATCTCTGTCGCTGAATATAGAAGACATTAACTACATCGAAATCAACTTTAGCATTTGGGACGATGCATTGAAATGCATACCTTGGTCATCATCCCTCTCCAAGTAATAACCTGGGCATCAGTTTTGACACCAGTCTTCTTTTCAGTGTGGATGATCGTCTTGAGCAAGCTATCAAGATGATCATCTGCGCTATCATCGAGCTTCTGGAATGTATCAAATCCTTTCGACAAGTCCGCTCCAATATCTGGAGGGTAGTAATATCTTATGCACGAATCATCTTGAAGATATTCGTGCTTGTCATTATACGAGAAGCATGCTATTTCCTATGTATATTGGTCAGTTGTACTACTGCGTACAATATATGCTGTTCAGGAAAAACCAAGCCTACATAACCAAGACGAAATGAAGATCCACAGGCTGGCTGGAAATAAGCAAAGAATACCTAAAATTGGATTTCCTTCAGATATAACGCTCAACACTCTACTACAGATGTGCTCCGCCTTTCGAAAGAATTGATCATCAATGAAAGAAATGTTGGAAATCGCTTGATTTTAACATAACGCATCTAGAGTACACAAAAGCTTCAAACTTAAGTCTTTCATCAAATCCGGACAGAATCTACGCAACTAATAATTTCGTTCACATACCCTGGGTCGTTTGACTGGAGCACTAGGCCCAACAAATCTGCCAATGGGCTGTATCTCGAAACGCGAGCTCATGGTTGAATATGCTCAATATTCTGTTAATTTGCAGAAACCATGGGATGAGGTTCACGATAGGTTCAAAGAAAGAAGGAAAGCTCATATAAATAGGTTCTGAAGGAAGTTTGTACTGTCCCACAAGGATTCCCCACATGAAGCGAGGCTGTTTGCGAAGCCTCGCCTTGGAGGAGGAACAACAAACAAGCAAACTTTACAACCAACACCTTGACAAACCTGTATTTCCATCCTTACAGCATAAGTACGGGATCGTATTCGCTACATCATATACTATAATGCCAGAAAGACGGGCTCACGCCCCTTCAACTTCCTCAACCCGCTCCACGAACGTGCGGCGCAACCTCTTCCACCAACACCTCTCGCGGCGCCCTACAACCTCCTCGACCTCCACCTCTGCTGAGACGCTGCGCCTGGACAACGAGCATGAATCTGAAACGTCGGATATCGTGATACGGGATAAGAATGGGGATTTCGAGGTGCTGGATGCGAGTTTGGTGGCTTTGGATCAGGATGAGGCGGAGGAGGAGGATCATGAAAGACGGGAGGACGAGAGTATGTTACCCTTTTGCGTGTGAGTGGATGGCAAAGGAAATAGAGGCTAATTGGTGTATAGAGGAAAGACAGAGATTGTCGGAAGCAGTCAAACATCACCAGAGGGATAGGAATCGTGCGCCTAGTGAGCCAGCTGGTGAGTCTTTCCTACTGGAATGGATGGACACATGCTGACTCCGCCGTTAGATTTACTAGAGCAAGTGAAGAATCGACTGCGGACTAAGGTGACAGAACTATCAGAGGATAATTGGATGTACGAGAAAGAAGATGACAACATGATCAGATGAAGGACCGAACAATTGGTTCAATTTGCATGAAACGGCGTTGGAGATACCCTGGGAGGATACAATTCAAAGTTTAGTAGCACCAATGGCGATAAATCTTTTCATTCAGTCTAAACCTTCTGCTGCAGGTGCCTGCACTGATCCTACACGTTTTGGCTGTGGCTTTGCATCATTAGAGCCGCCACCGCCGAACATGCTTCCCATCATATCGAATAGTGGATTTCCCTGGCGTGGCCGTTGGATACCAAAGTACATTTCTCCAACTGATGTTAAAGCCTCATCCCATATTCCCACTTCCTTGATATGAGCTGCGTATTTCGCCCGTAGCTGTCTGAACAGGTCTGCGGAGCCCTTCTGTGCCGCCAACAATAAAAGCCCTAGGAAGTTTAAAAGTGGCAGGCTAGGGTATATCTTTATGTCTGAACCACTGCTGCTCACGTCCTGCACACTAAGATTCTTATTCTCCTCAGTCAATCTGCTTGTGAATAGTCGTAACGACCTGGAAGCATCGCGCACATTGCCTGTGATAAGATATGGGAAGACAGCTCGTGCAGCATAAGTGGCAGCTGTGTGTGGCTCATCCTGTGAGTACCATTCATACTCTAACTTAACAAGAATCTCTGGGGAGTCTTTTGTTCCCAGTATCAGATGTCTCTCAGCCTCGTATGCATCATGCTCCTCTGCGTATAGAGATCCTGCGACGTGGTGTAATTCTGGCTCTCCAGCCGGGTACTCGCCGAACTTCGATGACCAGCTATTTTGACGTCAGTTTGTTGTTAGCTCGCAAACAAAATATTTCCCTACTTTATTATCTCCCCAATATACTTCTTCCTCGTAGGCTCCTCGCTATCAAACTCTCGTAGGAGTGTGAGTAGTTTGCCTTTATTGCTAGAATCGGGCTTCAATTCGGCTTGCTTGTACACATCAACAAGGAAAATGCCGAGATCTCCACCACTACCTCCTTGACCAGCTTTCAAGAGCGATTGTGAGACATTGAAGAGAATTTCGACAGCGGAATTCCAGTTTTTAGTCTTGATATAGCGCGCAGCGACAAGGCGAGTTTGCTGTTGTGCTTCATAAAACTGACCATCCTCAATTCTATGACAAGTTAGCAAACGGTTTCGCCAGCCATGGTTACGATCCTACTTCTTGTGGATGCCCGCAATCTTCTTCTCCTCATTTCTGGTAGCCATCTTCGCTACCTGCCTATCTCTGACAATGTCGCCCTTCGTTGATCTTTGCGGAAGTAGCAGAATCGCAGTCTCTGAGGTGGGGAAAGTCCAGCAAGGCTGACAGACTGGCAGATGCAGGGATTTGGACGCGAGCTTCACAATGAGGGGTTTTTGCAAATATGTAACATAAGCTCTCTTAAGCACGTTTTATCATCAAATCATTCACATATAAAATGGCGGAAATGGTTTAAGGGTAAAATCAGCGCTTCCCATGCGCTGGCTCCGGGTTCGAGTCCCGGTTTCCGCATTATTTTGCTTCTGTTGACACTTTTTGCATCTCCTGCATCCATTTGTTCTTCCTATTACATTCGAGTGTGCTGGCCCACCATATTTTCGTTGCTTAAGACGGCTTTGTTCAAGAGCCAACTAAAGCAGCGCTGCTAGAGGGCTAGCTGCATGCAATATTCATCTTTTGCTTCATTCTTCTGATCAATTTCCTTGTGTAGCATTCTCACATTAATGGATCTGGAATGAGTGTCAATCGATATTCAGACTGCTAATTTCCCTTGGGTCCATTCTTTGTTTATACTGAGCGCAGCTGCTCTCATTATGCTAAGCTACAGCTGATAAGTCGGACTGCGAGTTTCAATCGTTATCGAGAGCCTCAGTACTGTCTGTCACACAGTATGGACGCCATAAATGTTTGTATTTTACAAAAACATTGCCTTCTCTTTATGCCAAGATCATGAAGCACATAAGGCGCGGTCTGTCTACAAAGCGCACGGGGGCTGACTTCAGCATCAGCATAAGATCCGCCAGAGTGGCCAACACGCTATCTAAGGATTCATCTGATGTCATCAGCGAACGGATCCATGCTTGAAACCGTAATTGCCATTGTACTTTAAAGCATCGCCAGGTACGAGTCACCAGGAAATGACGGGATGAAAATCTATTGACTAAAGAACTTGAAGAAAAAAAGGAAAGCCGCCGTGGCCTGCTGGATTGATCAATGTCTCACCTTCTCAATTAACTGATAAGGTAGAAAGAAGAAGAATAGAGTTTTGTTGGTTAGAACAGTTTGTGCCTGGTCCGGTGGAGAAGCCACTACCATCGTGTATCATATTGAACCGTGTTGAGGCGGGACACTTGCCAGCTCCCTGATCAAGACCAAAGATAATCTTCCGGAAAGACTAGTATCTATTGCTAGCTACAGCTTGTCCTTGACGTTTCAACACGAAATTAAATTAACTCAAACATTGAGATCATCTCCTGCTTCTAAGGGAGTACGATTCCCGTGAGCATATTCGGATGTTGAACAGCTCCTATAAAATTTCCAACATAGAATTGGCCAAACCCTGGCACCACTGCGTGACTACATCAAGGTACAGTAAGCGGGTATTCACCAGCCCTGAAAATCGGTTTATCACGATAGCTGGCATTGCCAAAACTGTAAGTATGCAGACCGATCAGGAGTATATTGCCGGACTATGGAGCAGCCATCTCGGTTAGAACTTATGCTGGCATATTACTGCTCTGAAGTCGCTCGATGCCAATTCGAACCTACCAGGCTCTCGTGGCAGCCACCGTCGTCATGGACATCTCGTAGTGCAGAAACAGATTGAGATGTCGTAAAAAGCCTCAGAACATGCTTTATATTACCTAGCTTGAACATTAAGCCTGCTCTATCTTCACGGAGATGACGACAAGATTACCGCGGTGAATGATTTAGATGTCTTGAATTCTGGGACTCTGACCGTTCAAGCCTCATCTGTAGTAGCAGCATGTGCTTCCCATTTCGTGGAGTTTTTGGGCAGGGATATCTGGCTGATATGATCCAGTAACTACCGTCTGAAGATGCTTCCTAGACTATGGGCCAGGAAGTCTTCCTCCGAAGAAAGGCCAAACCAAATACACTTTATTATACTGGACGAAGACTCTGAGACAGCTAAAGAAGGCGCGACTGGATATGTTTACCTGTTGTATCTGTTATGTCCTCGGCGATATAGCCTGGTGACTTGGCAGTCTACAGAAGAAGAATAGGCTCAAGAACAATGACAGCTTGGAGACTCGATACCGTGCAATTCCAAAGCTCAAGATGAAAAAAGCCTATCTTATCTATGTGCCACAGATTGACTCGTCCTCAACAATGTTTTCATATCCGTCGAGACCTATTAATGAGTAGAGTGAACAAGCAATAGGTGCTCGAAGCCATCAGTATGCCAACCGTCGCATTAAGCTCGCTTAAGCCCCTTTCGAGGAAGCCAAGAACTAAGGTCATGTCTTTCTAGTAGCTGTTATCAATCCAGATATGTCACCCTAGCACTAATCTTATATTTATTTTTCTGAAACGGAGCCACTTTTGTTTCTTTCCCTCCCACCTTTCCTCTCAACTTTTCTCACCCATCATGTCCGTGCGCCACCATCCAATATCTACGGACCAATCAAGTGATGGATATTTTTGTGAGTAAGCGAACAAGGTACCCCGCGCTCGATCAGGAAAGTCTACACGATGCCAAGGATAGATTGCACGACTCGTATATCATTTATTGTCGTCGGATGTAGTGTCTCAAAAATGTTGGTCATTTACCTTTTTACCTATCGAAGATTTCTTACTCTTTCCCTCCTCAAGTATTCTGCTCTCCTAGGTCAAGCTCCAACATGAGCGTCTCTAAGCTTGCTCAATTTGGTGCCAAGCACGTTGCCAGAGGAATTGGAAGACTCACCACAGAGGTGCTTGAGAGTGGTGCGGGGAGCTATGTCACTACAGTAGAGGGACGAAAACTGCTGGATTTTACGTCTGGGATTGGAGGTGAGTGATGCTTGAGCTTATTAGATATATGTTCTGGTCAATTGGAAATTTATATTTCGTTTCCGCAGAGCTACACTCCAATTTCTCTTTACCTATAGACCAAACGCTAACATAGAGCTTCAGTCACCAATCTAGGCCATTGCCATCCAGCAGTAACAAAAGCTGCGCAAGCACAAGCTGGCAAGCTCGTTCATGGACAAGTCAACATTGCATTTCAGCGTCCATACCTCGAACTGGTCGAGTCCCTCATCCCTCTCATGCCACACCCCTCACTCGACTCATTTTTCTTCTGGAACTCCGGGGCTGAAGCCGTCGAGGCAGCGGTCAAGCTCGCGCGGCATGCGACCAAGAAACAAAACATCATTGTCATGCAAGGCTCATACCACGGCCGCACGTTTGGCACCATGGCTATGACGCGCTCCAAAACCGTGTACGGCGAGAATTATGGCCCACTGATGCCGGGGGTCTTTTCAGTGCCGTTCCCATATTGTAAGCAGTGTTCAATAGCGAGCCATAGCGATGGCAAGTTCGGATTCGAGAATTGCTGCAATGACCCGATACTCCAGCTTGAGCTCCTGTTGAAGAGGGAGACTGCGCCTTCGGATACCGCTGCTATTTTCATCGAGCCTGTTCTAGGTGAGGGAGGTTATGTGCCACCACCAGTTGGATATCTCGCCAAAGTGCGTGAAATATGCGACAAGAACAACATCCTTCTCGTAGCAGATGAAGTACAATGCGGCTACGGCAGAACAGGCAAAATGTTCGCTATCGAGCACTGGAGCGTGCGACCTGATATCCTGATCATGGCCAAGGGAATCGCCAACGGATTCCCACTTTCTGGCATTGTGTCAAGGAAGGAGTTAATGGACACGCAGAAGCCGGGATCGATGGGCGGAACATACGCTGGAAACGCCGTGGCGTGCGCAGCTGGAATTGCTGTGGCTAAGGCGTTCCGCGAGGAGAAGATTTTAGAGAATGTGAATGCTAGGGGGGCTGAGTTACGAGTGGCGCTCAACGCAGCTCGCGAGAATCCTAAGACTGCAAAGTTGGTCCATGATGTGCGAGGGTTAGGCTTAATGTTAGCATTGGAAGGTACCTCTGGGAAAGGATATGCTGCCAAGATTCAGGCGAAGTGCCTGGAGCGAGATATGCTGGTGTTGACGACTTCTATTTACGACACGATACGATTTATTCCCCCATTAAATATTACAAAGGAAGATATGGCGGAAGGTTGCCATATCATCACAGAAGCCATTAATGAGGTAGCGGCTGAGGCAGAGTAATAATATATTGTAAACAATGAAAACAAAGATTAATTTCCAGTCTCATGGGCCGTGGCTATATCAACTGAATACAAACTGTACCACCTAACAATTAATAGTCAATTTACATTGTGAGCATTGCCCACACCCAGACAACGCTCTCGCCAAGAAGAAAAATACAGTATCGTTGGGTTACGATATGTACATCGGCTCTCCAAATGTCGACTTCGCCGGTAATCATGTCGAATCACTCAAACCACATCCACCATGGTCGTCACACCGCAATCCCCTCCGGCGTCACCTGCGCCTTAGTGATATCCTCCTCCACGGGGTTAGTATCCTTGAGAATTGGGCCTCGCTCAGTTGAAGTGATAGGCGCTTCCTCCTCTTGCTTCTCTGCTATCTTAGGCTCTGCTTCGTCAAGATTCAAATTTTCAATTTCTGGAAGGGCAACATCCTCCTTTTCATTAGACTTGCGCCCTAAGGCTGGTACATCGGCCTTCTCGACGCCTTCTTCAGCCTCAGTAGGTTTGCTCTCACTAACCGGAACGTCATCACCCTTCTTTTCTTCCTCTTTGACCACAAGAGGCTCAATCTTCGCAGCTCCAAGATCATCGTTCTTGCTAGCCTCCTCCCCCACCTCGGCAGGTTCGCTATTGGTCACTGGTGTATCATCAGTTTTCTTCTCTTCAATCATTTCCGGCGTGACGTCAATAGGTTTCGTGTCATCAATAGGCGTTTCATCACTCTTTTGTTCCTCCTCAATCACTTTATCCGCGTCCACAGGCTTGCTCTCAGAAATAGGCTCACCCTCTTCGACGAAAGCTTGGAGGTCTTCTTTCACGGACTCATCAGTAATCTGAGGCTTAGCCTCCTCACTAGCAATGGTTGCCTCTTCTTCAGGCTGCGCAATATCATCTGTTGATTCTTCTTCTTTCTTGGACTCTACATGCGGAGCACTCTCATCTGCAACGCTTTCTTTAACAGGAGTACCATCTTGGGTTGGTGCATTCGTTTCAGTTGGCAAGTCCTGGTCTGATTTTTCTTCCTTTGGAGCACCAGCAGACTCAGTTGGTACATTGACCAACGTCCCTTCAACTGGGGATGTAGTAGGCTCGCTCGGACCATCTTCCTCAATAGGACCATCGCTATTTATGGGCTCATTGTCCTCGGAACGAGGTCCTTCAGCTGCAGCACCCTCTGTTAGAGCATTCTCTGCCGGAGTACTCTCGGCTG